TGTAGCCTTCTCCTCCCTCCCTTAGTGCAGCTCTGAGATATGTAACTAGGGAATGCCTGATTCTAATAAATTGTGAAGAGAGCTTTGAGGCTGGCAGAGTGGTTTTGGAGATTGTAACTGTACGGTTCCTTACGACTCTGTGCCTTTATTTCCTTGTCTCAGTGTTTTAGGTGTTTGAACCTGACATTAAATTGGTCCTTCGAGTCGGATGCCAACACATCTGATGATTCCAGTGGACATGGGTGAAATCCAGAAAGACTGTGGCCACAGCAGGACTACTCGGTTAAGTCCTTTAGTCCCTTTGATGGGACTGGGTTCATCCCAGTTCCCTGGGATCTGACGCTTGATGGTAGTCTGAAGGTAGAAGGCACACAGGAGGACGGTGGAGTCCTGTAAATTCTGTTTAAGTTAAAAACCTGACTGAGTAAAAAAAGACCTGAAGGATTCTATACCCTGTTCAGGCAAGATAGAATTGTTGGGATCTGGAAATCTGTCCACCTTTCTCCAGCAGAGGTCGCCCTAGGTCTCCTGGAGCTGAAGCTGACTACCACACCTGCGGCTGATTTGCTCATCAGGGAGACCAGCATATAAGCAGCGGCAGGACTACTCTTCAGCGCCAGAGTGTTAAGCCAGTTACGGTTAGCAAGCCTGAGCCAACCAGCCTGCCTGATTCTCTGACTCCCTGAAAGCCTGACTTGAACCTAATCAGTTTTTTGTCCTCTCTGCCTCCTAGGAAGAACCTGACTGAAACCTGGAGCTCTGGAAGAGCAACTCAACTGAAAACCTGCCTGCCTGCTCTCAGTAACAAACCTGAAGATTAAACTGTCTGAATCTGCCTACCATCCTTCAAGAAGGAAACTTGGAGAAGCTCTGACACTAACAAGCCTGAAGCTAAGTCCTGTCGCTGCCAAACCCTCTGCCATCGATCAGTCTCTAGACCCTCCTGGTTCCCACCCTCTGCCGCTCAACCTGAATCTCTGAACAGGTACAGATCTGCACATCCTCTCAGCTACAAGATCATTAGCTTCCTGGCTAACCTAACTGTCCCTCTCTGCAGAGAACCCTGTGTGACCAGTCCTGGATCTGATTCCAGTATCTGTCAACTAACCTTGTGCTTATCTTTAATAAACTGTTAAACTTTTACTCTGACTCCGTGGGGTTCTGCATGTGGGTTAGAAACCTGAACCCCAACATGAGAGTAGGTCATTTTAATGTGTCACCTGTAAGTCCAAGTCTGGCCAGAGGTCAGTGGTCTGGCCCGTTCTGTGGTCCAGGAACGGGTCGACCCGTCATGAGCTCATGTGGAGGAAAACTGGGAGTCAAAGTTACCAACATGCTGAATTAAAGGAGCTGAGGGAAGGACAGATCAGATGTTATCTTACCCTTTCACAAACAATAGTAGATAAAACAAGTTCATGTAGCTTAAAGAACTTTAGATTAAAATTTTAACTTTGTCACAACTCATTGAATTATTCCATAATTTCAAACTTACCCAGTAGATTTACTTCCTTAGTATTTGGTACCCTTATCACTTCTGCACCTGCAGAAATCCAAACAAACTTCTCCTCAGCAGAGGAGGGAGGGAGGACCTGCAGCGCTGTAAACAAGGGGAGACGCTGCAGCACAGCCTTCTGTTGCTTCCACCAGACATGATGTGTGGAAGAAGAAAAAATGGGCTTTCCATCCGATTTCAAGAACGATGTTTCCAAGGCAAAGAAAAATCAAAGAACCAGAAACAAGAGTTTCATGAGGTGAAGAAACACCGAACCAGGGGTGCAAGAAGCTGAACCATCAACAAACATTACCTCCAGGTGGTACCTGACACTTCTGACAATCACTGTCCTCAGAAAAAATCAGTCAAAGAGAATCCTGCCTTGACAACGCCAAATTGTCGTGGGAAAAAATTATTCAACTATTCATCCTAATTAAATAAATGGAGATCGATGGATTTCACTCAGTCGGCACATTTATTAATCTTTGCAAAGAGAGAACAGTCATCATGGCACAGCATTCTGCTCTGTTCTGATCTGGGCAGGGTTCGTCCCCCCTTACTTAAGCAGTCAGAGTCATAACAAATTACACACACTTTGGTTAACAGTAAACCTTGAGAAAGAATATGGATTGTTATGGGAAGAAGCAATGTCTGGTCTACAAATACCACAACCCACAACAGTTGGACAGACTGTTTGGACCTTAAGTTTTGCTGCAGGACCTGTTAGAGGAGGTTCAGTAGGGAGGGTGGTTCTGTGTTTGTCAGCCTGTCAAGAAAGAAAAGTTTAAGCATTATAAGAGTTTTTGTTGTATCATCAGAATATTTATATCACTCTGTTTAACTCCAGAACCACAGATCATGGTGAGTTAGATCATTATCTTCACAATCTGTTACTATGGTGATAAACTCAGAATTAGTCTGATCTCTATGTCTGGATTTAAGAACCACAATTTCTCTAACTTCAGGGTTAAAATTGGGTTTAACAGTTTTTACTGAACCTGCTTTCTGGAAGGAGGAGGTTCTTTATCAGAACAACATCAGATATGAGTTCGATAGAAACCAGTTAGAAACCAGTCAGACCAGAATTCCTCCCACTAACTCTTCGTAGCTGTCTCGCCTCCATCACAGGTAAAGCTCCGAAAATGTAAGCATGCAAAGGGAGTGGTCAGAGATCAGTATGCTTTTATAGGCATAACTCTTAATTCTGGTAGCCAAAGAGTTTGAAATTAGGAAGTAATCTATGCATCTATAGCTATTATGGATCATTGAGTGGCAAGAATATTGTTTCTTTGTTCGATTCTGTACCGTCTATATATCTCTTAAGTTTGGTTCAGACATCAAATGTTGTATAAACCGTCTATTGTTAGGATGGAAAAATCTAAACCTGATGATTGGTCGAGATTAGGAGTAAAGTTTCAACCAAAGATCACATGACTGTGAAAGCTGTAATAAAGAGAAACTAATAATTGTAGAAATCAGGGTCATCTATATTAGGACCATAAAGATTAAATTAATTTAAATTTTGGTTCATTATTGAGGCTTTGATTATTATGAATCTCCCAGCAGGATCTATGAGTCTTTTTAATACAATAATATACAATTCTTCACCATAATTCCTATTTCTTTGTCTTTTGTTCATGTTTGCAGTCAGTCCTGCTCCAGTTAAATAGCGCCTCATGTGGCGAGGAGTCCAGCAGCGTTAATAATCTTTTAATATGGTTTTTTTTCAATGAAACATTTTTGTTTTCTATAACATCGACTGTCAAAAATCATACAGTAACACATTTCCATCTTCTTTTTGAGATATTTTTGGAATTAATGTTTTTTTTCTTTAGTACAATAAATTACAGCGAAAAGTCAAGTCAGGGATCGAACATTTCAAAGAAAAGCAGACGCTGACAGTTTGTGGACTAAAAGAAGCCTCTTTACTTCAAAGCTGCTAACTTAAACAGACTGAACGACAGTTTTTATTTTCTTTCTAAACTCCTGCATCATCAAACCAAAAACATTGAAACATCGACAACAGAAAAACATGAACGTTTCCACATCAGAGCTTCTTCTTCTGGCCTTTTATTTTGATACAGGAAACGAGTGAACATTCACACAGAGCCGCGCCCTGCTTAAAGGAACAGTCCCACATTTTTAGCCCCAGGAAGCTGTTAGCCTAGCTTAGCACAAAGCATGGAACTGATGGAAACTGTTAGCAGACAATTAGTTTTTCTATTATTTTTGAATGTTTTTAGCTAATGTGTTGCTTTTTGGGATCTGTAAAACTGTAAACTGTAGTTTAGTTTAATCATAATTCATGGTTTAACAAGGAGGTTGATAACTTCTTCACATAAGCCCCATTTACAGGGTTCCTACAGCATAAGGCAAGTTAAATGCAAGACTTTTTAATGCCACTTGGAAAAAAAAAATTAAGACCAAATTCACAAGAAAAACCTGCTTGCGACAACTTAACCCAAAGGTTTATTTTAACATAAACCACTGCACTAATGTTTCACATTTTGAAAAGCTTCCCATACAGAAAGAAAGCTAAAAATGAAAAATAAATCGTGATAAAAATAATCCTATTTATGAAGTTTTAAAAATTAAGACCTACGAAAGACTGATTTAATACATTTAAATATGAATTAAGGCCTTAGTTTTATTTTGAAGAATTCAATGCCTTTTAAGACTTTTTAAGGACCCGCGGGAACCCTGATTTACGCTACCCTTTTGAAACCGTGCACAGATCGGTCCGAGCACGGTAACCAAGGTAACTGTTGAATGTAAATGCTACGCACAACTGAACTGGACCGTGCCAGAAACAACCGAACCTCGCTAACATGGTACTAGTTCATCAGTTCATCAGTAGGGCTCGGCGCGGTTCAGTTCTGGCTCACTTCTCTGATAACAAAGAGAACATGAGCAGACTGCGTCATCTCCTTACAGTCAGCCTCTGTAATCAGGAGATTTCAGACATTTATTAAAATCCTAGCTTCCCTACAGCGCTGCACGTTTTCCAGTGATGATTCTGCTCAGCAGTGTCATCACAAAAAAACGTGCAGCACTGTAGGGAAGCTAGGATTTTAATAAATGTCTGAAATCTCCTGATTACAGAGGCTGACTGTAAGGAGATGACGCAGTCTGCTCATGTTCTCTTTGTTATCAGAGAAGTGAGCCAGAACTGAACCGCG